AATGTTAGTATTGTAAGAAGTCTTCGTAGTGTAAGTAATGTTAGTATTGTATGCAATAGTAAAAAAAAAAAGAAAAAGAAAAAAGTGCACCTAACCCCCAAATTTGTTTTTCACTAAAACTAATCTACTTGTTATTTGAAATACTTCTGCAAATGAATTTTTGGATTCGGTTGAATCCTCGATTTTCTGTGTCCCAACGAAATCTCGAAAATAGCTCCAAAAAACTGCCACTTTGTTTAGTGACCGAGTTTGAGGAGAATGGGTCCAGCGGCTGCTGTGACGTCTACCCAGGAAGGTTGAACATCTCACGTCCTCTCATTTCTCTCAGGATTGTGCAATACACATTCGATATGCAATACACAGTACACATGCAATACACATTCACCTTCCAGAAGTGCTATCGTCTGTTGCAGCAATATCCCAAATTTAAAGGAAGATATACTATACAATTTACTGGCGATGGTTGGTCATTGGTATATTAAAGACATAAACGGTGGTTGATTTTGTCGAACTGAAACAAGCAAACCGAGTCTGTGAGAACCATTGAAGAACTCTCACTGGAATTTGTTCTGCAGACTTTCAAATGCTATTTTCAAAATTTTCTTTTTAAAGCCAACCAACAATTTGTAGAAATGCTACCAACAACCTATATCTTCCAATCCCGTGGTACTTATAACATAGACGGCAAAGTTTTGTGATCAATCAAGAAACGTTACGACCGATGTACTGATATGTAAATAGGTCCCAACTGTAGACCGCCAACCAACACTTATTTCTCTTTCGATTTAGATAAAAGTCGCAGATTAATCCTTTTAGCCTGCGTAGCAGGTGTATAAAGGGGAAGGGGTGGGGAGGAGGAAGAGAATTCAGGGAAAAAAAAAAGGAGGAGTGGGGAGTGGAGGGGAAAAAGGAACGTGTTCCCTTCTCCGAATTCTCTTCCTCTTCCCCCATCACCTCCCCTTTACACGCCTGCTATGCAGGCTAAATCCTTTAGAATTGCATGATAACAAAACTGTTAGACTCACAGAGTTTTTCGAAGGTTTAGAAATCAGCAGTGTGACAAACATTCTGTGCCGCCGCAATATTGTCGCAAATATGACCGTATAACATTATCTGCGGACCGCTTAGGGAAAACATCCTTTTCGCTTATCCGACAAATTTCACTGCAAACTTTGAGAAAATTTACATTGGTTATTTGGAGTTACGATTTACAATGTGTGACAATGTGAAATCGGTAATTGTATGAAATGTTCCCTTCCGCCCTGCTTCCGGCAACTTCAAAAATACAGGTCAAAACAGTATGATTTTCAATCGATTGAAGCCAGTGTTTTGGAGGTCATTGTCTCGAAAAGTGCAACACTTACGTCGCTCTTATAAAGATGAAGCATTCAACAGAAAGTAAAACACAAACTGGATTTAACAGAACAATCATACCTTGACAAAATACATTCTCACTAAGGACAAATGTAAACGGGCTATAAACACGCGTAGGAATCTTGTGTTTAGGTGACAAAATTACCATCCAAAGCAGTCCTTGAGTTTTCTTTCCTGCTTTTCATTTGCCTGCCCCTCCACTTCGTATCTAGCTTTCCATTCCTAATATACAAGCAGCTCATCCACAAAGAAGTCTTCCCCTTCGTCGCTTGAAATATTGTAAATTGCTCTCAAAGCCCTAGGCAGACTGCAAGTTCACAGTTGTCAAACGTGCTCAATCAAAGTTTATTTCGGATTCTTCCGAATTGAAACTTAACTCTGACTCCAGTGACGAAAAAGAAATGGTTCTGAAACAAAACTTGGCTGTTTTAGTCCCAAAATATTTTGGAACAATTAGTTTTGTGTCCACTTTCTCGAGCAAATACAGAGAGCTGACTGAGGCGCTATTGTGTTTGGTTCCTGGGTAAATGTCATCAGCAACCGCTGCCCCAGACTCCCTAAAACGCGGTCACGCGGCACTTCAAGCGTGACTTTGAAAGGGCATAAAAAATTGAGGATTCAACCAAATTCAAAAATTTTTTCGCCCAAGTGCTTTGAATAACAAGTGGATTCGTTTTAGAGAAAAAAAAAGTTTAGGAGTTAGGTGCACTTTAACTGTGGAAAGATGAACATAGTTGGTTTGAGTGGCCATATACATGTAAATGGGGTAAAATTATAAAGGGTTATACAGATTGGGATTTTGGAATGTTGCACTGTGCAGCTGGCTGTATTAACGGGGTGGCCGCATTAACAGGGTTTTCTTATAAGAAAATGTATGTAAAAAAAAGCTAATAACATAATTTTCCCCTTACCTTACTTCAATGCCAAAGAGGAATACATGACTTTAGAATTCTCTGGCCCTGGTCTTTTGAAGTTACCAATGACAACACTTACTCAACAGGCCTTCCGATACTACGTGATGGTACGATTTCGTACAGTCTGCCTCAAATTGCATCCGATCACATCCGATGGCACAATTCATGAAAAGAGGCATAATTCCTGAAAACCTTCACAATTTTAACAAAACAAAGCATTAGTTAACACTTTATCTAGAAAAATCACACATCAACATGTCATTTCAAGATGATTTGCTTTTGAAAAAGCCCTGAAAACCTTCTACAACCTTCTATTTCATTAACAATCAAAGTTCAAGGCATTCTGGTTGTAGCTACAGCAGTTAAGTTGCACGCGCATGCAATGTACGACACTTGAAGTGGCGTGCGCTTCTGCAACAAATTTGCACGCGCAACATTGTGCAAGTTCTCAATGGGTTTTTAATTTAAGC